TATAGTTTATTATGTGTTTGATTTAATGTTGGCCGTTAGTGTGAACTTAGCGGCTGTTTTGGAAAAATGTTTATAACTTTTTAATGACTGTCCAACAAATTGTAAAACCTTTCCAACAATGTCCAACAAACGTCCAACAAAATTGTTGGATAGGTTTAATTGAAATCTGTTACATGATTGCCGCTAAGTTCATGAACGTCCCAAACGTTAGAATATGAAAAAAAACTTACTTTAATAGTTTAATTATCGACTCTTTCGGCGGAATCCGTAAAGTGTGAGAACTGTGACGATGATGACGAAACGCTTCAGAGAATACAGAACTTAAAATATTGTGATTTATGAAAAATAAAATTAAACGGGACGCAGTAAGTTTTTTACTCATACCTGCTTTGCTTATTGAAATTTTAGAATTTTTAATCGACTGTGTCGTCTGCAACGACTATGAGATTTGCCATGGAATATAAATGAATAATGATAGATATTATACTAGGTACGTCAATATGATGAGTCCACGGATATCATATAATGCAACTTTTTATATCCAAGAGTTCCATGTTAAGGAACAATATTTGTTCGTTGAAATTTTGTATGACAAAAATCAAAATAGTTTATAATTTTGAATTTGAATTATAATAATAGGTATCAAATATGATATATTATTTGAATTATTATTTTCGTTTATTAATTTAATTATTTATTAATATGGTGAATAGATATTTGCAGAAGTACAAGCATATTTTTATAAAAGCTTGTTGTATTTTATAAATCATTAAATAAAAATGTGATTACTGGATTTTAGGTAACATAAAGGTATACTCAGTAAATTCATCAAATTTACAGTATCGGCTATAATACCAACTAGATTCTAAAATTTCAAATCTAACATTTTCTACGAATACTGCTGATTATAAAATTATTAATTATTATTCAATATTATGAAAATTTTAATTGTATCGGGGACCTATAATTTGTATTTTAGATTCTGAGTGGAACGATGAATATTTTGATTTTACTATGATGTGTATTTAATTTTTAATTTTTTTTTATTATTTCTTTGTTGTGTTTGATACTTTGATGTGTACACGATAAGTAGGTAGTCAAATTCGACCTTCGTTTTCCATGCATAATATATTATAGGTACTCCGTATGTAATCAATGATCATATTGTTTATTTTTAATTCAATTTTTGTAGAAACGTGTTTTGTGTAGGCATAATAAATGTTACATTAAAATTTAAAAAATTCAAAAATTAGAATATAGGCACTACAGTTTCCAGCTTCTACTACAACATTACGTTATATTATGTTTTTAATTATTAAAATGCCTAAAAAGTAAACGTAAATCCCAAAATAATATGAAAACAAACTTACGCTGAAACATCGACTCTTCCGGTGAAACCTAGCTAGAGTGCATCAACAATGCAAACGTCCAGTACGTGAAGCCACCGAAAAAACAGCTATCTTCATCCGTCTTCATCTCGTTCCGAACTGTAACTTGAAACTATCGAAATATTTCATGAAAATTACCTGAACTTAACGAAATGTGCGAATTCGTGTTAAAACTTACATTATAATATATACTGCTTAACGAACTATCTGTATATTATATTTATGGCTTATTATTTTTTTTTTCACTAAAATTATTAGAATTGTTAATAGTCGCAGACGAATATCGACAATTGGCGATTGCCATAGATGATATAAAATATATTATTTAATATGATAAATCCATAGAACTTTTACACTCAACACACATACACGGTCTATTGATACACCGTGTGTTCTTTTACAGAAATCTTTGTGGTCTGCAATGTATTCTTGTTTTCTATTTCAGTTATTTATTGTATACTAAATTTAACCAAACTAATTAGTCCACAAGTTTATAGACATCACAAATATATACTACAAATAGAGTAAATTATTATAATTTATATACACGAATACACTATGACACTTTTAAATGTAATTTTTTGGGCAAAAATGACTATAGCCTACTGCTGTACTAATGCTTAATACTCTGCAGTCTGCACTTTGTTCCGGTGATTTTACACGTTATATAATAAAATTGATACTAGTGATTTGTACCCGATTGTTAAATTCAATTATTTACAAGATTTCAATAAAAAAATATGTATGAAGTATAAACATCCGCATTTCTATTAACTATAAATTCTTAATTGTATGAGCCATACATATAACATATACCTATTTTTCGAAATAATTATTTAATGTCTCACGGGTTGATCTAGCAACTGACTGCTAAGACAACTGTGAAATTTTTTAAGCATAATCCGTTTTGATAACATCCAGAAAAGAGTTTGTCTTAAGACTGTCTGTCTTGATAACAACTAATTTAATTTAAAATGTATTTTTATATTATATGATAATGGAAAATAATAATTATAGTAAAATATATAATTGCAAAACATTTAATATCTAGCTATATAGGGTATAAACTACACTAAAAAAATTGTGAGTATGCTAATAAAATACAAGAGGCTTATAATGTATTTATGTATATAAATTATAAAATATAAAGATTGATAACATTATATTGTTTTAAATACTTCACGCAAAACCTAAGGTGGTACCCGGCTTATAGTATACCTATGCAAAAAGGCACTTATTAAACTTGGAGTAGTGAAACGAAGACGGACTTTGGACTGTTCGGTCTCACGTATTTTATACATGGCGCTTTTAGGATTAAACTTATAAATGCTTCTACGTCACCCAGTTAACAGATTGTCCGGGGCAATAAATATTTAATTTAAGTCCTAAAGTAAATGTAAAATACTAAAATAGCAATAATATGAAAACAAACTTACGCGTAAACATCGAATCTTCCGGTGAAATCTAGCTAGAGTGCCGCCGTCGCCGAAAAAACGGCTATATTCATCCATCATTATCTTGCTCAGAACTGAAACTTGAAAGTATAGAAATATTTAATGAAAATAATCTGACCATAACGAAATGTGTGAATTTGTGCTAACAAACTGTCCGTATAATCGCTTATTATTTTTTTGTTCACTGAAATTATTAGAATTGTTAATCGTCATTCGTCGCCGACGAATGTCGACAATAATTGACGATAGCCATAGATATTATTATAAAATATATTATTTACTATGATAAATCCATAGAACTTATATACTATACTAAGTACCTAATGGTCTTTGGTAAATCGTACGTATTTTTACAGAAATTGTTGTGATCAGCAATGTACTTATTCTGGTTTTCTATTTCATTCATAGTTCGCATGCCAAATTTAACTATACGAAACTGGTCCGCAAATGTTGAAATGTATAGACAAATTTTTCAATTTTTTTTTTCGGTAACCCATGTGTTGCGACCAGTTAAGATGTATATCTATGATGCAAAAATTAACTGCCGGAAATTATTAGTTTTTATGGTAAAGCTTTACGAAGTTCACGATTTTCGGTGTTTTAAGTGCTTGTAAAAATTTTGTTTTTTTAAAAAGAAAATCACCATTATTATTTATTTTTGTATAAGTACATAAAATATAAAAAATATTATATTATACATAGACTTCAGGGCCCCGCATACATTGAATGTGTCCGGGGTGGCGGGGTCCCAAGAATCCTAATTGCGGCACTGGTAGGTACCATCTATTAACTATTAAGTAGATATTACATGTATTTTTACTGTTATTAATTATTATTATATTTTGTATTATTCGAAAGTAGAAAGTTATTAGTTATGAAAAATCGATTTTCTTTTATAAATAGTATGTTTATTATTATTTATATTTTTTTCTTAATAATTAATAAAAGAACTCTTTTATAGTGAAAATTGATCTTCATATTACTTGACCAAGGAGAAACAAAGTACATAAATATAAATACAATTTTATTGATATTTCTAGAAAAAAAACTAAAAAAAAATGAAAAATGAAAATGTCCCTAAACAGTTCAAAATAAATCAAAATATTTTGAAAATGTTATCGTGTATTAAAAATTCAAATATAAACAACCAGTGAAAACTTCATGTATCTACGGTCATTTGTTTTAAAGTTACACCAAAACCAAATTCAATTTTCTGAAAAATCGATTTTGCGTAAAAATTCCCGTTTTTCCTTAATTTTTCTTTTGTTTTTCTTGGCGCTTTTGAAAAGTACTGGGTATTTTAAATTTTGACCTCCCCAATGCACCAACGATATTCACTTTCCAATCGAACAAGATACTGAAGTTGAAAATCGAAGAATTATTTCGACTACTTATCGTGTACACAGACACAAAAAAAATTAAAAAACACACATCATTGTAAAATCAATACATTCATCGTTTCACTCAGAATCTAAAATGGAAGACCTAATAATTTATAAAATAATGATAACACAATGACAAGATGGTCTATTATAATTTATAGGAATTTTTTTTTTTGCTTTATGATATTAATTTGCTTACGCCTTAAGGGCTTCCGTGTTGCCCTCCACAATAAGTTTTCAGTAATTTAAGTATTAACTACTGTTGCTCTTTTTATATAGATTTTTTAAACACTGAAAATCAGGTAGGTACCATCTAACTTTTTATGTAATCTATGAATAGAGCCTACTTGCCAAATTGTTAAATGATAACAAGTAACAACCGGTATACTGATAAGGACATGTGATAGGGACACCAGCTATCAGACTCCAGACAACTTTTCATAAATTCATAATATTAAACCGTGGACGCCAGACAGTATACATAACTTAGGACTCTACGACGTGTGATGTAATGATAGATAAACATTTAACAAATTCCTAACAAAACTTCCCATATTTTCAAAAAATTTAGTTGACATTAACACAATTTTATATTTAAGTATATTTATTATTATTATTATTATTATTATTATTAAGTACGTATTTTGCAAAATAATATTTTAAATACGGTTTCGAGTTTTACTTATTTTACGGATCACAATGAATACTGTCGTTTGCTGGATGTTGTGATTGTTGAGCTAATATGCTGTTATAATTGAACAGTTTAGATTGCTAATATGTCGTCGTCTTCGGCCTGTATATATGAGTGGAATTGGTGAGTGTCGGTTGACCATAGGCTGTGATGTTATCAAATCCAATATGAATCAATACATATTTTGTTATTTTCTTTTTAACTCAACAGGTACAGTAAACCAATTATTAACTACAAGCGTAAACAAAAATGCATACTAGAAAAATGTGGAGTAAATCATCCGCTGAAAAGTTTAACTGAAGTATGTAATTCTATGTCGTTACATATTGAATATGTGTACTCATTTAAGATTTAAAAACAATGTAATTGTATTATTTATGTCTATTGCAATTAAATGTATGCACAGATGTATTGGAATAGCATTAGTGATGTATATTTTTTATTTATAAATAATATAAATACATTCATAAATCAATAAGGGCCTGTTTTACAATCATAGTTTAAACCTCGGTTACGCCCAACCCACTGATTTTACCGGCCGAATTCGGTGGCTTAACCTTAGTTTAACAATTGTAATACAGGCACTAAGTGCAACAAAATAATGGATCTTATATTATCTTATCTTTAAGTTTTGAATTTCGACTACCTAATTAAAGAATTATTAAATTAAATTCAAAATTAAATAAATTTGTTATCCTTAATTTTATTATATAAATTAAGAAATATCTTTAAATTCATATAGATAACTTTTGTAATTCATGATTAATCTTACTCATTATTCAATATATAACAACTGTTTATTTTTATTTTTATACTCATGTTTACGATCCAAAAATATATTTTCTTACATTTTTAACCATTTATTATTATAAACTTTTTAATATTTTTTTAGGTAACCAGTAAAAATGTTCTTGTTAATGATCCCTTATCATCCACTATTACTTATGGGGATGATCCACTCAGTCGACCTGCCCAGTTAATTCCCACTGATTTTGATGAGATAGATAATGGTTGTATTGATGACATTCAACCTTGGTCTCATTTTAAACAGAGTATATTAAACAGTTATACAACTTCTGAAAAGCTCTCATTTCATTCATGTGAGTAAATAAATTAAATTTGTTGATACATTCAAATACTACTATTTTATCATCATCATACATATTATCATTATTTCAGTTTCAAAAAGTCTGCAGAGTGCTACAATAAGATCACGTCTAGAAGAACTGGAAGAATTTGATGACCAGATGGAGTATTCAGAAAAGGAACTTTACGATCTAACACAACAAGAATTTGTGACACACATGGACAACCTAGGTAAAGAAATTATAGAGGCATGGAATAATGAACAAAGAGTGAAAGCGTTAAAAATAGTCATACAGGTATATATTAGTTTTAGTTGTATTTAATAAATTTTTTAACTAGTCTACACGTGGGAAAACGTTTTTCAGTGTACAAAAATTTTGAGCTACACTTCACCATTGCAATTTTATCCAAGTAAATTTGTTCTAGTAACAGACCTGTTAGACTTATTTGGAGATCTAGTATTCAAGAGGCTTCAATCAAAATCAGAAATGATTGAGTATGATACATACAAATATATTAGATATACAGAGTGATTCATCAAGTATACTCACCATAATTTTTTCCTTTAATTTTTTTAATTTTTTTATATACTTAAGGATCATATTTTTAAATACTTAAATTTTTAATATACTTTAAGAAATCTCTTAGGGCAATACTGACTTATTTTTTTCAGGTGAAATTTACCCTTTTTCCTATACATTGTTAATCCTATGATAACTTTGTTGAAAATGTTTTGATAGTTTTTTTTTAATTATTTAACTTTGTGTGCTAAAGATAACAAGACAATAATAATGGGTATAAAGAATATTATGAAGTCTTGATTTAAAAATTTTAATTAATCTATTAATATTTTGTATTTGTAAAAATTCTCAAAGTATAATAAATATTATATTCAAGATTTCATCTATCTTATAATTTTGTAAAACAATTTTTAAGAATCATAGTATACTATATAGTATGTAAATCTGAATAACTCAAAAGAAGTATTATCAGCAATTAAAAAAAAAATATTTGCTTGACAATTTACAATAAAAAAGGTTGGTTATTATTTGAAAAAAAGAAGGTTACCTCACAACATTCCTTAAATTATATTTTAAAAAATCTAAATAATTAAAAAAATGGTCATTAAGTATAATTAAAAATTCTAAAAGTCAGAAGTTTAATAAAATCATTATTAAAGAAAAAATTGGGTGATGAATGTGATAAGTAATGTCATGTATACCTACATAGCTATAGTATAAAAAAAAATTTATTTATTTTAATTTGTTATTTTAGTGGTTGTGTAACGAGGCTTCCGGATAAATTCACCCCTGACATGGTGCCGGATGCTGCCAAAGAAACTTGTCAAAATTGGTTTTATAAAATTGCATCCATCCGTGAGCTTATACCTAGACTGTATATCGAAGCAGCTATTTTACGCAGTTATCGTTTCATTAAACCAGCGTTAGTTAGAGTTACACTGTTTATCACAAACTTGTTGTAATGATTTTATTTTTAACAGTGAACAAAATGCTGCTCTATTAAGACTTATAAAAATGGTTAGAGGTATTGGTAATCCATTAGTCGCATGGTATGCCCGATGTTATCTGTGCAGAATTGGTGTTTCGACAAATCTAAGTGTAAATTATTTTGAAGAAAGCTTCAAAGATATTTTACTGACATATAAGCAGGTAAATTATTATTATTTTCTTCAGGTAAATTTGTTGAATTTTATTATAACTAATTGAATGTGTTTTTTTTTTCAAAGTTAAATAACAGATTTGTGTGCAAAGAGATACAAACTCAAAATATGAACATGGAAAAATTTCTTCAACTTTTGTGTCCGGCATTAGAGTGGATAGTAAAGGGATTGAGTGCTGGTAAAGATCCACATAGTCTCGATGAGATTGTTAGATGGTGTACTTTACAAAATCTCCAGTATGTTTTTTTAAAATGTATATAATTTATCGGTGACGGTCGAAAAATTTTTAGCATTCACTAATTCATCTTAAAATTTATATTATTATATTATTATATTATTATAATTTATATTATTATAAATATTGAAAAATGGAAATGTGTCAATCTATCCTTCTCACTCACCACTATTTAACTGCCTCTATAATATATATACTTTACTGATTGTTTTCAAGAACATAATGTTTTAAATAGTGTACTTTTATTTTCAGTGGCCTTCTAATCAACACTATAGTAATCTCATTTCCCGGGAATTACCTTTCAATGAAAGCAGAATATCTTATCAATGTTATAGGAAAATGGGAATATGATGGTTTGTTTCAATTTTTTAATTGTATCTTATTTAATTTTGTATGAATTTTGCTTATTTTTGCATACCAACTATAACATATTTTATATTTTTGTAAATGTTGTGTTTAGTGTTTCCGCAAACTTTAGTCATACAAAACCTTGGCATGAGTTTAAGGGGTCATTTGGTACCAAATGCACCAAATGTTTTTAGAGAAGCATGGAAAATGGTGAATAAAGTTAAAGACTCCGAAAGGTTTATGACATGTGCCGAAGCATGGATATACTTCATTGTAAAACATTTTAAGGTAAATTATTCATTATAGTTCATCAACCTTATCATAAATAGTTTTAATTAACTTAAAAATGCCTATTAGTAATCCAAGAATTTTATTGACAACATTAGTTTCCAGTACTTTTAGATTTAGACATGTGTTTTTTTTTTGTTCTTTCATCACCTTTTTAAGCAAGAAAAGTGCTAAAATTTTCAACTTTTCGAGTGGTTTTATTGCTGAAAATTGGATTTAATTAATATTTTGAGGAGATCAAGAAAATGTGCAGAACTAAAAATAATCAAATTATTGGAATTTACCCATTGAATGGATTTGAAGCTTTGATTAGATATTTATATTAGTATTTACTAGATATTAATTTCATTTTTTTTTGGCTTTTTTGTGGTATTTAGAATTTGTAGTATTATTATTTTTTATAGTTTTTTTGCGATTTATGTGTGATTACTAAAGACCGGATTTATATTCTCTTAAAACATTATATATATTATGCTAATATTCTCTAAAAAACCTTCAATTGTTCTGATTATATTTTCTTAAAAATTTAAAAAATAATCAATAAACATCAATATATTATGTCAAAATATGCTTCAATATGGATTATGTAAAAAAAATTTTTTGTCCACTGTTAAAACAAAATCGTTTTTTGTTGAATGGTTCTATCCATTGTGTTAATAAGTTTTTAAATTTATTGATTATTTGATTTGCAAGGTGACTATGATACTATAACTGCTCGTTGTTTTCATCAAAATGATAAAAAAAAAACTTGGAAATGTTCAAAAAACATTACGTATTACATCCGTATTACGAACGTAGGTACAACATAGTCAAAACTGTTTTGAATGGGTATAAAAACCATTCAGGCTGTACTTTAAGCTAAGAAACTAAATGTTCACACTATAAAAATGAGAAAATGTACTGTGTAACTTTGTTTTTATATTTCTGATATCAGAACCAAAATAAAAGTTATTTAAGTTTGGTAAGCAAAAAATAATTAATTTTTAATTTTTAAGCTATAAGAACTTTTTTCGTATTTGTGATATCGAAAAATTAAAAACAATGTTGCACAGTCAATGTTCTCCTCTTTCTAGTAGGAACATTAGGTTGTATAACTTGAGCTATAGAGTGAGTGGATCTTATCCGAGCAAAACCGTTTTTCTATGTTTTACATTTGTAAAACGGAGACCACACAATGCGGGTGTAGCATCCTCTTAATAATATTTGTCATTCCGAATTTATTCAATTCAGCGTAACCCGAAGAATAAATAAATATATAAGTAAAAACCAAATAATAACCAAAGTTATAAATAGACCATTTCGTAGCCAACCGTGAACTGTAAGATAATATAATTTTCTATAATAATATGATATAATATGATTGCTGCATACTGTTTAATGTTTTGACAAAAACTGAAACACTGAAACGTGCATTCACACAATACTGTTTTAATCGTGAATTCGTAAACAGTTGTCAATATTTGTGATGGAAAGAAAAATTCTGAACCAATAAACCACGATAGTTTATAAATGATTGGTGAAATACTGAAATAAATTGAGGGAGCTAGTTTGAATCCCCTATGTGCGCCTATGGTGGTTTTACAATGGTGTTTATTTTTTTTTTCTTTATCTGGGATTTTAATTTCTAGCCTTAATTTCTATAACCATAGAAACAAATAAATAATAACAATATTATAATATTAATTCAACTTACTGGCTATAATAAATAATAACAATACCTATAAAATATCCAGACTGACATACTATCTCCTCTCAAAATCGTTTTTCCCATACAATGATATTATATCATTGAATTCAAGTTAAATACAATCCATTATACATTGACTCACTTGTAACCTACTGTACAGCAGAGCGATATCCACTTACCCACTTTTTTACATATAATTTTGTGTATAATATTATATGCAATTTTTTATTACTAAAAATTAGTTCAACTTACTGAATTAGTGTGTTACTAATAATAAAATATATATATATAATAAAATCCTAAGAAATATAGGCTGACAGACCATTTCTGTTCAGAATCATTTTCATATTCAAATTTAATACATCCATTACTATGACCTACACAATGACAAGGTACACTTGAGAACTCGACTCCTGCTATGAAGCAGAGTGACCTCCTCGATTTTTAATAAAATGTTCACAATTATTAAATTATAGTTAAACTTAATAATGGATAGTCAATAAAAAAGTACTTTCAACTCTGACTGATTTTTAAAGGTTCTGTAGTAATGACTGGTTGCTTACCTTTTTTAATTTCCTAAGCAAATCAGGATGATTGTTTTGGATATAGAATGATACATAATGACTAATTTTCAATTTCAATTATAACATAATACAATTTGTATACATCCACAATCCAGTGTTTGGAAAGAACGTCGTTCATGAACGCTCGTTCATTCGTTCACATTCATATTAAGTGAACAATATGTGACCGTCACTTGTTTTTTTCAAATAAAACGTGAGCAATGTTTATATAATTAATGAATTTGAACGATTTTTAAGACGTTCAAATTTATTTTTTATTTGATGAATATTGATTGATAAATGATAATACTATTAAGATTAGAGCGCGGATTTCTATGCAATTGCATATTTTTTTCCTTTTCATATTTTTGGATTTTTGTTAGTTATCTCCACGAATCATCATAATTTGAAACTAATGGTAAAATTTTTTTTCCATATTTAGCCAAAAGTTAAAAAAATGCATAAAATAATATTTTGTCAAATAGAAAAATTAAAACTAAATTTTATAGTCACTTAATAATAATTTATATAAAGATAAAATAAATAATTGATTATAACGTAAACTTAATCGCTCTTGCTGTGTCAGTCGGTGAATACTAAAAAGTTTTAGTCATAAAAAAACTGAAAATATGATTTTACATCAACTTTACATACTTTTTTGCATATTTTCATTATTTTTACTGCATATTATAATCACATATTTCAATACTTTTTAGTGCATAAAAATCCGCTCTTTAATTATGATATATAATATATTACAAATTATAAAAATAAAATACATGAAATTCCAGTGGGCCAGCCTGGACATAAAACAACAATAATATTATGATTTCCACGATTTTGTATTCGTATTTAAAGGATACGTAAATAATTATTATTTCTTTTCAATTTTTAATTATAGTTTTAATGAATTTGAGTTCATATTGTCAAAAGCCAGTTATTTTGGTTTTAAAACATTTGCATTATTAATGCCAGCATTGTTATGCACAAGTAAAAGGTTATATTTTGTCAAATGTATATAATTAATGATAAATGATGATTATTACTTTAAGAATAAAGAAATAAGCGTCTTCATGGATGATATAACGAGACACCTTAGCAATCGCGTCGGAATAGAACGATTCCACACACAGCTTCACAACATCTTGCAACACCTACTGAATTACATAGAAGATTTTGAGGATACATTCCATATGGTGAGTTTCCCATCATCCTTATTGAAGTAAGGTAAAGTCAATAGATCAAAAACTTTTAATACGTATTTCCAGAACTATTTATTGCCATACTTGGACATGTTTGGATCGGACACGAACAAATCGGCAAGATGCAAGATCGTGTTGGAAGCGTATCGGACGCGAGGTGAGAATGTCGCGTCCAGCGATCCCGTGATCAACGACTGCCTGATGTACATGTGCAAGATCTTACATGATTCCGTCGAGTACGTAGTTGATGATCAACTCACATAAAACACAAACATATTCGTTATATTGATTTCAGCTCATTGACCGTCGAAGATGAAGTTCGTCAAATTAGTCGCCTGATAGCCTGTTTTATATTCCGTGTCGATTACGGCAATGATTTAGAGAAATATTTAAATTTTTATATGGAAGCCAGAGGAGCATTTATTAGATTAGACTACGTGCAATCCGCGCTCGTGCAGGTGAGTTACTTAGCACTTCTTTCCCTCCATATTTGATACACCTGGACTTATTGTAGAAGAGGCCTTATTTCTTCCTATTGCTGAAAGTAGGATATTGATGAGCTAGTATAGTAGTGGTTATCATAGGAATAGAATAGGGGGGGGGGGTAAAGCATCCTTAGAATTTTATAAATTTTATAAATTTTATAAATTCATGACGCTACCGTGTATGGTGGTTATTTTTAAAATTAACAAATATACCAATATATGTTGTCGTAATGATATTCTGTAGCTCATATAGAGTAGTCTAAAGATAGAGTCACTAAAATGTTGGTATTTTAAATAATAGAATAATATGATGCTATTTTATTTTATTGTAAATACGGTATTAGTATTTCATACATCCCACTGTCTATTAGATTAAGGCCATGCGTTCGCTTAAGACTTAAAACAGTTAAAACCTAAATACTTGTATAATGCGCTTTTCTTCGACAATTTAGTGTGTCAACAAACTTATGGTCCTGTCTGTATCGGTTTCAAGGGCCCAAGTTAAGAACTCGTTTGCCCGCGCTTGCTCCGCTTACTGTTACATTACCATTCCGTCGATCACTTCACCGCTCATCAAACTTCAACTATACATTTTAACCGGACAGACTTCGCTGTTGAACGGATGTCTCGGACAAGGTATGGATCGTTAATAATATATAATGTGTATCCATAGGCTCAATTTTGGAGGGTGCTACGATTTTAATAAAGCTCCTTTAGTAATTTTTTCTTGAATGATGTTAATATTATATCTAGTGACTTATATTGTTATATGTATCAGTGGCGTATCCAGAGGGGGGTTAGGGGGTTGTAACCCCCCCCCCCCCCCGAAAATTGTTAAATTATAACAACGTTATCATTAATAAATCATTTTAAGATAAAATTCCACAAAAATAAATTATAACCCCTCCCGAAAAAAAATTCTGGATACGCTACTGATATGTATATAGACTTGTAGTCTTAAAGGGATGAGTGGAGTAATATTAATCTAGCACTTACAAAATGTTTATCCAAATTGCTCTTTTTTTTCTGTTTGACCCAACGATCCTGCGGGAACAGCTTTTGCATTACTTCTGCGGAGCTCCATCCAAATTGTGCCTATATGCTGGAAAAAACACTATTTGATTAATCGATTGTAAAAATTTATAAGGATAACATCTACGATTTAAAATAAATACATTTTAATAAATATATGTTTATAGAATTCGTCAAACAAAAAATAAATTAAGTAAAATAAATATAGCAAAATAGATTGATGATCCACTTTTTCCATAGTAAAATTGTTCTTACATCAATACTACCTACATCTTAATCCTTATTAATATACTTACTATTACTATTGACAAATTCTGAAATTTAATTTTTAATGACATTTATCGATTTTGAATTATAGATAATATATAAGCTTAATTCCTATAAACTTAGATCATCGGTTATAGTAATAGAGTTTTATCAGCTTTCATCGCTCCTATATGGTGCAGTGCTTCAATATTAAAGCACAAATCAATCATCTTCGGTGTCCCATTTGAATTTCAGCGGACGCGTGTCTTAAGGCAGCGTCCACAGTGATCAGCGATTTCCCGGCGACGTTGGAAGTGGACGGGCTCGTCATCAATGCTGAACCCATACTCGTGTCATACACTAAGCAAATGCTGTCGATTTTGCTCGTTGTGCCGGTAAAATACACACCCCACTTACAATGTGGCTCTTAAAGTGTAAATGTATTAATTATGTATTTATTATAATGTATGATGCGCAACACCTTTGTTCACTAGGACTGTCCTGATCTCGAAGTATTGCACCAGGTGAAGCTGCTGATCAGAGCAATTAGACAATATTCATGGACCGACTCGATGCAGCCACACATGCTCTATTTGTACGTGCTGGACATACTAGCAACTGCAACTTTGGATACATATCCTTACAGAATACCCGATGGCAAGTACCTTTATGTAAACCTTTTATAATATTGCCGTTTAAAAGTATGGATCTAGATTCTAAGGCAAAAGGCCGAAAAAACATAATTAATTTTAGAGATGTTCCAAAAATGTTTTGATAAAAAAATTTAAGTTTGATCAAAATTGTTGAAAATGTAATTATATAATACAAAATTCGCAAGCAGTTATTCTTAAAATAATTTTAAAATGTTGAAAATATGTAAGCTTGATTTTTGTTTATAACCTTTTAAAGTTTACATTTTGACATAATTCGTCAAAATCCCTAACAATTAAAAATTATCATGTACCTACTTGAAATATTTTAATTTTAATAGGTAAGACTTGAAAATTTATATATGAGGTTCCTCATAAGTTCCTACAGAGATTTTAAAATCTTAAAAATACATATACACAAGTTAATAAAGGGCCAAAAGGGCAAACAGTTTTGTCCACCTCATCTAACCCCCCAACCCCACTCAACATCCCAAAAAAATCAAACAGGATCAGCGTATGTAGGTTTACAATGTTTTTGATTATCATTCACCAAATTTTCGTTGCTAATGCCTGTGATATATCAACAGTGGACTCCAACGACGTGCTGTACGGCCGTGAACCACAGTTTGTGGCTGATGTGGACTCGATTTGTACCGTGGTGTTAGACAATATACTTGAACGGTTGTATAGTCTCGTGGATAAACCAAACAGCCAAGTACGTTAAGAAATATAATTAATATTGTTTTAAATGATGGCAATTGTGACTTGTTTTACAGGCGAAATTGGCGTTTGAATTACTCCTGCACGTTGTTGTCAGAGCAGACTTAAACGAAATTCAAATGGCCACGTTGGCAGTCAATCTCTGGAAGTTGTCAAAAAAAAACAAAACGATCATGGACCCCAAAGACGAAGTAAATTGATTGATTAACATTGTACACCTACCTTGTTGCCATTGAACCAATTATATCATACTGACTAAATTGTATTTTACAGGAAAAAATGATAACCTACATTAGAGAGTTCTGCGAAAATGAAGAAGATGAAATTTATCATAAATTTATAAACAAGATCACAGGAAAGCCTATTGGATCTTCAATTAATAAACAATAGATAATATATTATATATTATATATTTATTTTATTTTTCAATAACAAATTTGTCTAGGATTTACATATTATATAAATGTATTGTTATTATTATTATATTTTCATTGTGTTGTTATGAAAATATATAATACTTAATTGTTATACCATTAATTTCACCAATACATCACAGGGAGATTACAAAATAAACAGCTAAATTATAAATTCATAGTTCATATGTATTTATGTATAGACGTACAGTTTTACTTGCTTTACAATTTTCTTGTTCGTGTTCCATCTGTCCAATTGTCCCAAATGTTGTTTTTTAGAACACTTATGAATGAATTTTTGTAAATTTCCAATGAATAGTTTAAAAAAAAAAATATATAAAAATTATATAAAATTCTATTTAATATGATGAAGAGTATCTTAAACTTTAAAGTCAAAACTCACGATGGAGTGTTCATTGTTGAACAAAATCTCCAGTATTTTAAGACTTATGTGCATACATTAACAATATTGGTACTAAAAAAAACTTTATACAATTTTAAAATTAACTATTTCAAAAGTTTTGAAGTGAGACCTTCTGATTTAAATGTAGTATAAATAAATTACAATAAAATAACAAAGTATCTTAATTTTACTATTTACAAATTTTTGCTTCAGATATATGTTCAACACTGGATATTTAAATCAACTCTTCAAAGTTTCAGTAAACTAAAAAAAATGATTAAACAGAGTATTAAGCAGGTGGGTTTGTAAGATCAGAGTTAAGAGTTAATTTAACTACCCCATATCTAGGTGTGTAGGTACTAGGTACCTATAAAATAACAAAATATTAAAATATATTTTTTGGTAATGCCTATATTTATACCATTAACTTATTCACACCATTCTTCGGCAAGTCAGTATTGACTTAAAATTAATAACAATAACATAAATAATAATAATAATCATATATTATTAGATTATTATTAAAATACAATTTTTCACCAAAACTAATTTAACCTAGTACCTACAATACCTATATTATTACTATAGTAGTAAAATAAATATAAAACTTTATGGAGCGAATTGGTGATCCATTTTACATAAGATTCTCATTATAAAGTTTTTAAATTACATAATTTACATAATTTTGAGTCATTACTCATTTCAAAATATGACCATTTTTGAATGTAAAATGTTTACTATTTTTAAAATTTTTAACTCTTTTGAATGATACCTATACAATTTTAATTTCATATTGTAAAGCAGAATATTATTCGATTTTTCAAAATCAAATTTTGGACAATTTATTACTTATTGATTAGTATTTAGACTAGGTTTCAGAGACAGTGTTTCCCAACATTTTTTCCTCCCAGCACACTAATCCCAACCCATATTTAGCCGCAGAACACTTGTCACTGACTTATATAGCCTATGGCTATATCACCTAGTTGGTTTTTGTTCCACATTTCTAAATTGGTTTAAGTCAATAAAATTAATAATTATTGCCAATGCGTTTTCTCACTACCTATAAAATAGTACAACTTATATACAATTGTAATAATATAAATAAGAAATAATTAGTAGGTATGATTAACAGTGTCTAGAGTCTAGACCAAGACTGTCTTACTGTAATAAATTATACATAAAGTGGAAAAGTTATAAGTTATAACTCATTGATAATGGTATTTTGTTACTATTGCATGTTTTTTAACAATATTAAATAGGTAACTATTATTACAGAGAATATTTTTTAATGTGTTTCTGTACTATTCATTCTTAGACAGAAATGTTTTATACATAATATAATTATAATAATATTATAGTGTTATACAAATGTATAATTAAATACTATACAGTATACTCTGTTGAAGTTAAGAAGCCCAATGGCCAACTTGTAGATATTTAATTGGTTTATCAGTTTTAAAAGTAATTCGTTAGTAAGTAAGTTTCTATAAATTTACTATAATACATAGATTACTAGAAATTCATTAGACTAAACCGGTGTGAAAAATAATTCACCGGGATGTTTGGACCATATCATTTACATAATTACATGGCTCATCATCCCGGTGTTGGATAATGTGTGATAATTTTAATCCGGTCTCATGGGTAAATGGGTAATACTAAAACCCGGGACGGGACCGATTCCATTCTAACCGTGTGGCCTGAACGAACCGTGCTAAAATATTGTTATCCTTGTACCCATAACATACTTAATATATTATTACCATAAATTATTGCAGAAACGGGACGGGATTCCAACGCCACACGTGCTGAAAAATAATCCAAATTGTAGACGGGACGAACGGTAGTTAAATCAAAATAATTTAAAACCTATAAAACATGAAAATATCTTAATATGTATGACATTTATTTTATTATAATAATTATAGTAGTGATTCTATTTTTTGAATTTAGGTTATCATATTGTATATTTATATGTTCATAGTTCATATGTCATATAGTATACCTATTTAAATGTATTTATTTTAATTATTTTATTGATCTATTATCGACCCAATCCCGTAAAATATCATAAAGTGAATGACATTTATTTATATTTACTATAGGTATTAATATTATTTTAATAATTGCAATAGTGATTATATTATATGGCATACCTATGCCATTTAGTTTATCATATAGACATATACCTATAACCTATAGTGCCGGAGAAGAAGCAATGTGAACAACAGTTCCTTCTCTGGCTCTAGATTAAACCGGAAAAAAAAACCTATAGTATTTTAAAAAAAAAAAAAAAAATTATTTTTTTTGATCTATTGACTATTATAGACCCAATCCGGCAATCCCTTTAACTATCTTAATGTGAATGACATTTATTTTTATTTATTATATTAAAATTATTTTAATAATAATAATAATAATGATTCTATTTAAGTAGGTAGGTATTATAGTTTATCTTATGATATTTAGATTTAAGAAAACCAAATATCATCTAAATTCATTTTAAAGGTTTAGTAACAGTACTACATCACCAAACAATGATAAATTGTGGATAGGATTTTTTTATAAGAACCCATCACGAAATACAAAATATGTTTAGTCAAAACTCAGTTCATATTATAGTTGACAGTTGTTCAATATTTTCAAGACTATCAACTTATACTGTTTTAAATTATTTCCATTTTTTGTACGTTTTTTATTTTTCAACTCTCTTTTTATCTATAAAACAACAATTGATTTTGAACAATTTTATAAAGGTAAGAACACTAAGAAATATTGATTTTATTAAGAGGACAACACACCCGCATGTGTTTCTCACAAACCAAATTTTCGTTCGTCAGTTTCAATAGGGCTCTTTAAAAACAGGTAAAGACAGCTGCCATTTTCTTTCCAATTGGAATTAAGACAGAATTAATACAAATTATACAAGTTTTTAATAAAACAAGTACGTCTATGAAAAATCGTTAATAATCGTTCAAATATATATTTTTCTACCTTTATTCATTAACTACCAAAATTCAATTTCACAAAACAAATTTAATAAATACAAGACTAGCTATTATCATTTATCAGCTTTGGAAAGAAACTGGCCACTGTCTACCCGTGTTTATTAGAGGCTTAGTTGGTGCCTAAGTTGCCTTGTTCTGTGTTATTAGTTATTAGCGTGGTTACTGGTTATTACTTCAGTTATTTAGACAGTCTGTAATTAAAAATATATTTACAAGAATACTTCCACCTTCCACAGTCTTAGTCAAGTATTTAATGATTATATTTTATATTGAAACATTTGAAACATATTTCTATTAAGCTGATATATCCAAGTCAATATATCATTGCTTAATGTTACGTCGTTTGTTTTATTGTTGTTCAAGGATTATTGTTTTGGTTAATTGTTATAGAGGCCCGGCATAGAAGAAACCAATCAGCGAAGTTGATCAATTTATCTAAAAAATATAATACATTAGATACTGTTATTTGTTAAAGCAGTACAAATAATTTACCAAAGGATTCATCTTCTTTGTCATTACGTCCCTATGGCAAGCGGCCTGACTCAATAGAGTCAAACTCTAAAGTAAGACAATGGTTGCATCATGTAAATAAACACAAGTTAGTATACCGTCCAGACACACTTTCTTGTTCGCAAAGGTGGGTACCATAAGCTATATTTCATAATATGTTTATAATTGTTTACTTATTATAGTATTTTATTAATATAATTTTATTTTTTTGTAGTTTTTTTTAGGTAGAACATGACGAAGAGCAAAAGAATGAGATTTCTAGCAGTGGTATAAATGATGAAAATGTTATTATACAAAATAAAGGTGTTCAGAATAATTCTGATAATATATGTATGACAGATTTTATGAAGTAGGTAAGCAAACAGTTTTTTTTATCATATTATCTTATATAGTACAATGTTGTCATATATTCACTTGGGTGAACGATGCAGATATATCTCCACCCATTGTCTCTTTATTTTTTCAAGTATTGGGACCATTTCTTGTGATAGTTATTTTTGTAATAGTTTTATTTTATTTTTTTTTTGTTATGTCATGTTAATTTACATATATTTATTTGGTTCAATATGTATACAATATACATACACTATTGGTAATAATTAAATTGTATATTTTACAGTGCTAATTATGATTATGACATAATACATTGTATTTAGAGGATCTACTGAACTTTTACTGTCCTTCATTTTCACCTACTCGTGTTACAATTTTTAACCATCATGAAAACCAGAAGAATATTGTTGTCAGTCCCACTACATATTTGTTAAAGTATGTACTTTAGATAAATATTTTGCAATTGTTTTTATTTATTATTTTAATTACAATTTAGATATAATAATGATAATATATTTTGTAATACTATTTATTTTTTAGTTCAGTTGAGAACACTTATTATGATATTGTGGTTAATGACTTAAATGCATTAAGCAATATTTCTCCATCAGCAGCTATTTACACTAACCATGATAGTAATTATTATCCCACTAAAAACACAGAAACTAGTCACGGTGAACAAAATAGACCTGTTCGTAAAAAGTTTGTACTATATTAATT